TTCAAAGGAGTTTCAGAGCTCCTCAGAGGCTATCCAGGATTGTGCAGGAAAAGGTATGTCCCTGACACAACTTTTGTACAGATTGCTACCTCATTCCTTCTCTTCCCCTCTGCCTGATTATACGCCATGACCGTTTCTAGGTCTTTTAGCAAAAAACTGTCATGAAATGGCTATTATCTCTGGCCTGGATTGGTGGAAGGGGCCAATTGTTCTCCCTGATTCCAATCTCTCCCCTCAGCTGCTAAAATAACCTTGTTAAGGCCTAGGTCTGATCATGTCTCTCTCCTGCCTCTAAACCTTTAGTAAATGGCTCCTTGTTGCCATAATTAAAAACATTTAAAAATAATATTTATATAGTACCTACTATGTGCCAGGAACTATGCTAAGTTCTTTATTTCACAACAGCCCTGGAAGTAGGTACTATTATTATCCCCATTTTGCAGTTAAAAACCCGAGGCAAATGGAAGTTAAGTGACTTGCCTGGGGTCACACAGCTAGTAAGTGTCTGATTTGAACTCAGGTCTTCCTGACTCCAAGCCCAGTGCTCAATCTACTGCACCACCTAGGATAAAATACAAATGCTGTATGATATTTAAGGGCTGTAACAACCTAGCTTCAACATGTCTTTCTGGTCTTATTTCAAGTTGTTACCTTTCATAAACTCTATATTTGAGCTAAACTGGACTATTTAACCATTCCCTAATCTTCTTCTATTACCCTCAACCTCTGGCCATTTGCAAAGGTCATCCCATATACCCGGAATGCACTGATTCTTCATCTCTGCCTATTAAAATCCTTTTTTTTTTTCCCTTCACAGCTTAAATCGGGTACCTTCCCTGACTCTCCCCTAAATGAAAGTGTTTTCTTTTCAGATTTTTCTGGTATACTTTGTTTCTTTCCTTTGTCCTGTTGCATTCTTTCTTGCATTATGCTTACTCATCCATTCATTATATCCTCTCAACTGACTGCAAACACCTTGAGGTTGGTGGCATCTCATCGTTTACATTTGTATCCCAAGTGCCTAGCACACACACAGGATGCGCCTAACGAATATTTCTCATACTGTTTTGTTGAATTGAAAGCTCTTAAGTGTAAGGGATGCTGGAGGAAAGGGAGTCACAGGATCATAGATTGGAGACTAAAATGGGACTGGTGGAGTGGGACTGGTGACTTGGCCAAAGTCACACAGGTAGAAAGTAGCAGAACCAGAATTGAAACCCAGGTCTTCTGACTCTAAATCCAATGTTCTAGGCAGACAGGTGGCTATATGGATACCGTTGGGAAGACCTAAATTCAAATTTAGCCTCACATACTTAACTAGCTTTGTAACTCTGAGTAAGTACTTTAGCCTCTGTTTGCCTCAGTTCCCTCAACTATAAAATGGGGATAATAGCACCTACCTCCCAGGGTTGTTGTGAGGTGAAAATGAGATAATATTTGTAAAGTGCTTAGCACAGTGCCTCGAACATAGCATCATTTTTCTTTGCTACCATATTCACTTGGCTTTCTCTCATGCCAAAACTGATAGGGCATTTTCACCTTGGAAACATTTTCTAATTTTTTTCCCTTTTGATCCACACTTGCCCAAGGAAACTAGGAGCCAGAGGGCATAGTAAGCCTGGCTAGCAATATGGACAAGGCTCCCAGGTAGTGCCAAGCATTACTGGGTTGCGTGCCTACTGTGGACTGGCAGGGCTTGAGGGGGCCTGAGGACACTGAGAAATATAGTCCGGGCCAAGAACAGCAAAGCTCAGCCTTGATGCAAGTCTTAGGGATGATTCAGGACCTGGATTAGGTCAATGGGAGGATGACAGGGCGGGGATTTGATAAGATCAGCTCAAGGATTTAGCCGAAACACAGAGCAGATTCATCAGCAAAGCAAAGATGCCAATGCATCACCTCCAACAGGGACACATCCCCTGTTGCCTGCCATAAAGCCAGTGGGTCCAGTTGCCAACTACAGGATGAAAGCATCAGGCAGAGCATTAGAGGAAAAGGATTAGCTGTAAAATTTTGTACATAAAGAAGGGTCTTTAACTCAGTCCCTGTGAGGGATGAACATGGGGTGAAAAAACCAGCTTCTTAACCACAGACCAGAACTCACACATCCAAGTGAACACTGCGCCCTTCAAAGTAGTCCCCTTGGGAGGTTATAGGCTTATTTCAGAGATATTACCATCACTCATCACATGTTTAGAGCTTCCCTTTGGGAACTGCCTTCAGAGCCAGATTACAAGCCAGAGAAGAAAATCAGCTTCATTAGTTCTTTTCATTTGTTTTATTTTTGCTATGGACCTGTGGTTTCATCACTAGAAGGAATGCCAGTGCGAAAAGCCCATCCACTGACATAGGCTGGCTATTTATTTCTAATTTGTATTCTTAGAGAGTTAGTTGCCTTGGAGCACAGAGAGGTCAACCTCCTTGCCATGGTCATACATGATACGAACTCAGGTCTTTTCACTCTAAGGCTATCTCTCTACCCAACAGGACACTGCCTCTCCATTGATTTTTTTCCCCAAAGGCCCATTTTATTTTCAACCCAAAACAGGAACCCCCATTTGACCTCATTCACCAGCTTTTGCTTTGGATTCTATTTGGCCATTTCCCCAAATCAAATCCATTCACAAAGGAAAATGTGCTACCATAGATGGTTGTGCTGCTGACACTTATGTCCCCAGGTTGTTTCCAGAAAAGACCATTGAGTTGGAATTTGGTCATTGTAGCTAAGCAAAGTAAAGGAAGTAGGTTGGTTTTTTTTCTTCTTAGTGTAATGAAAAGGCCTTGGAGGGAATATTAGGGTTATGTTCATGCATCTGAAGGGCTGTCAAGTGGAACTAAGATTAGACATTTTATTTGGTCCAGAGGCCAAGGGTCAGCGTATGGGACCTTGAGGGGTCAGATTTTAGCCTCACTCAAGGAAGAAACTCTTACCAACCAGTACTGTCCAGCAACGGAATGGACCGCTTTGGAGGGTTTTAAGTTTTCCATCACTGGAGATGGTTAAGAAGACTTGTCAGGGATAATAATAATTACCACTCTTGTGTAATGCTTCAAAGTTTGTTAAGTGCTTTCTTTTAATGTAGCAGGGATTCATTGTTGCTTCAGAGAAGGTTTGGCCTAGATGCCTCTACTATTCCTTCTAGTTCTGAAACTTTATGATTCTATGATTCTCTACTTGAGGGAAACAAAACACTTTCATATATAAGTTCTGGTCTGTTTCAAAAAAAAAAAAACAACCAAAACCCTGATACTTGACATGGCAGTACACTTAATATGTGGCAGACACAATTTCTCATTAATCCAAATTCCTAGGATCATAATTCTAGAGTTGGAAGGGACTCCAGAGGCTTTTTAATCTGACCTTCTCGCTTTGTTATGTTGTTCAAGTCATTTCAGTTGCGTCCTACTCTTCACGTCCCCATTTGGGGTTTTCTTGGCAGAGATACCAGAGTGGTTTGCCATTTCCTTCTCTAGCTCATTGTACAGATAGAGAAATTGAGGCAAACAGTGATTGGCCCAGGGTCTCACAGCTACTAAGTGTCTGAGGCTGAATTTGAACTCAGGTCTCCCTGAGTGCAGGCCCACTGCTCTACCCACTGTACTGCATAGTTGATCTCTCACTTTACAGCGGAGAAAAATGAGGACCATGGTAATTAAGGGACTTGCCCAAGATCACACAGGTTGTAAACATCAGTGGTGGATTTTGAACCCAAGCCCTCAATGCTCTTTCTATTATGCTGCCTCTCTAATAAATTGTACATTCAGATGATCAGTTAGCTGGATCCTTTAGCATTACAATCCACCTAACTTTTCCTAACATAAAAACTCTTTTGGAAATTGGTAGCATGCTCATGTTTGCTGACTGTTCTGGCGAATGACAGTGGCAGAAATGAAGCTGATTCAAAACACATGATGGGTAAACCTGACCTCAAATTGTCTTACAAATCTTATGAGAAGGAGTCTAAAGTCAATATGCTTCATTGTCTGGTTGCCACAAACATCACTGAAATGTTTTGCAAGACAAAAACCTCCTGTTGTCTTTTGTTTGGAGGCAATCTAGGTTAAGTGACTTGTCCAGGATCACACAGCCATTAAGTGTCTGGGGCTGGATTTGAACTCAGTCCTCCTGTCTCCAGAGCTAGTGCTTCATCCATTGTGTTATCTAGCTGTCCCTCCTGTTGTAGTTTTAATTTTTTTATGATGGTTTATATTTTTTCTGATCTTTCATGAAAATGAGAACAGACAACAGGAGAGGCATCATAGTATGTGAGATAGAAATTGGGCCTTGAAATCCCACAGACCTGGGTTCAAGTTCTCTTTCTGACATATACTGATTGTGGAACTCTGGTCAAGTCACCTAATCTCTTATTGCTCCTGGTAACTCTCTAAGATTATAAATCAAAGAAAAGACACAGATCTGCATTGGGAGTGGGCATTCCTCCCTAGATGAAGTCATAAATCTGATAAAAGACAAACACAGAATCACAAAAATGAATAAAAGGGGCCCAGTCCCCAAAGTTTGACCTGGAAGTGGTTAAAAAAACCTTCTCAGTGGCTACCCCTAACTTCTTAGGACCCCAGTGGGAGACTGAATCTCTCCTGAGACTCCTTCAGTGCCAAGCAGTACAGCCTTGGGCAAATCTCTTTCTCTCTCTGAGCTTCACTTTCTTCTTCTGAATAAGATAATATCTAAAGTCCCTGTGAATAGTAACATTCTAATCCACTATACCTTGTGCTCCTTAACAGGAGAGACTGGGTTTTTTTTTTGTTTTTGTTTTTTTTGTTTTGCCTTTCTTTAATCCTGAAGACTTAACACAGTGTCTGACACATGGGTGCTTAATAAGTTCTGGTTGACTCACAGACCCTTCCAGATTCCAGATTGGGCTCAGTCCAGACTCCCTAGGCCCATCTTTCCCTCTCCTCCCCCTAAGTCCTCACCATTCCCCTGTCTTTCTCTCCTCCTCCACCACCCCAACCTTCCCTGGCCTCTGGGAGCACACCTGGTGAATCGAACCTCACAGATGTTACACATATACGGCTTCTCCCCTGTGTGCGTCCTCATGTGCCGTGGCAGCTTCCCTGCCCCCATGATGATCTTATGGCAGATGGGGCACTGCTGGGATGCCTTGGGCTTTAGCTTCCGTTCCTCTGCCAGCGGCCATGGCGGAAAGATGCTGCCTAGGTGAGTGGCACTCAGGAAGTTGAGATAGGTGCCATAGTCGGTCTCAGCCTTTATGGGTCCCAGGGGTCCCCCAGGGAGGTCAGCAAACACATCCTTGAAAAAGTCACCAGGGAAGGGGGGTGGTGGTGGCGGCGGGAGCTCCTCCTTCTTCTCTTCCTTGATCTTTCGTTTTTTGATGACCAGGTCTAGGGGTCCATTGTCCATGGGCTGTTCAGGCAGCTGGGCAAAGGCACCAAAATCTCCAGGCCAGAGGTGCGGAAAGAAGCCTGGGGAAAAGGGTGATAAGGCAGGCCTTCTGTCAGGGATGTTGGCTTTGGGGTAGAGGTTTTCTCTCAGTAAAGACTCAATGGAAAAGTCACGAATGACCCCTAGATGACCAGGGCTGCCATTAGCCTGGAAAGGGTTGGAAAAGTCCCTGGGGGTATCTGCATAGGCCTTCTCTGTGAGGTGGTCTGTCCTAGAAGGGCTTTGGTGGCAGCTGATATCCTGGGCATCAGGCAGATTTTCCTGGTCGGCAAAGTCCTCTGCCTCATCATCCTCATCCTCATCATCTTCATCTTCTTCCTCCTCATCCTCCTCCTCATCCTCCTCATCCTCATCATCATCATCTTCTTTGTCATCCTCCTCTTCCCCGTCCCCTCCAGGCTCCATGATCTCCAGGCACACGTTAACAATGCACTGAATCTCCAGCATTTTAGCAGCATTCAGGATGTGTTTTACATTGGAGGCTGTGATCGTGAGGGTGGATGTGTAGGCAAACTCCAGGATGGCAGCCAGTGCCTCTGGCTGGACAAAGTCAATCTCATAGACATAAGGCTGGTCAGCTAAAGTACCTGCTGTGAAGAGCTTCTTGAAGTACTTGCTACAGGCAGCTAGGACTGACCGATGGGTCCGGTACTCCTGCTCCTGGACCACCAGCAGGACATCACAGAGCAATCCGTCATGCCGCTGTTCATTCAGACTACACAGGACTTCACTGCTGTGGTTGGGGAAGGGAATACCAATCAGTTCATCAATGCCATTGGCCATGTTCTCATCTAGAGCCCTGCAGGGACACAAGGAAGAAGTCAGGGATTAGGAAACAGGTGTCCATAATGAAAAATAAAACCCCACAAGATCTAGTCAGACTGGCCCACTCATTGTCACCTAGACCAGAGGTGTCAGATGTATGACCCATAATGCGAAATTCCCAAGTGCACCAGATTAAAATTTAATTGGGAAATATTTAGCAAAATTATTTAACAAAATAAATACAATAGGACATAGATGATGTTACTATGTGGTTTTCCAAGTCGATATGTAGCCCATGAGGACCCTTATGTATAGTTTAGAGGCTCTGTTTCTATTTGAGTTTGATACCAGTGAATTCCAGATAACTCATGATGGTTAGCTCATTTCTGCTTCTCCATCTTTTGAACTCCACTGGGGCTTACTATCTGTACCCACCAGACATTTGCCATATGCTGCCTTAAACTGATATGGACCTCTTTGTGGTTATACATCCTGCCTACCCAACTAGACCATAAATACTTTGAGAGGAAGTTCTGTGTCCTATATTTCTTTGTATCCCCAGAGCCTAGAACAGGGCAAAGCAAATATTAACACTCAATAAATACTTGTTGATTGCCTAATATATTTGTTCCTGGCAAACTTTAAGAGAACACTATTATAGGGATGGCAATTGAACCTGTCAAAAAGGAAATGGTTATCATCAAGAGCCAACACTAGATTAAACTTCTAAGAACACTAGATTAAACTCATTTCCTTTTTTTTTTTTTTTGTACTAGGTCCTAGACTATATCATGTTTCTATGCTCTGGCTTCCATCTTGCATTCTAGTTCTGCTCTGGGTCTTGGGCTTCTGACTGATGAACATTCACCATAAGTAGCCCAACTCAGACCCGCCATATTGCTTCTCCCTGGACAACTTCATGTTCTGCTGCCACACCCTCCTTTCCCATCTCTACCTCTGGAAACATAATCAAGATTATCATTCCTGGAAAGAAAGTGTAAATCAGTTGCCCTATGGCTCTATTCACCAATCCTGTGATTTCCCTTCCTAAAACAACATTCCCTAGCTACAATTTCTTTATATAGGTTGTCTTCTTACACCATAAAGTCCTTGGCAGCAAGAATCATCTTATTTTTTCTGTTTGCAGCCCCAGTACTCAGAAGAGCACCTGGTGTATACAGTAAGCTTCATAAATGCTTTTTCATTCATTTATACATTCATTCACCAGGGAAACACTGTAAATATAGATTAGCTAGATCTTAGCAAGGCATTTGTCAAATTATCTCATCCTATGCTTGTGGAAATGATGGTAAGATGCCAGCTAGATTATGGTACAATTAGGTAGATAGAACTGTCTGAAAGGTCACTCAAAGTATACTCATTAACAGTTTAGTATCAGCTTGGAAGGAGGTCTCTATTGGAGTGCCCCCGAAATCTGTGCCCAGCCTTAGGCTATAAACATTTTTATTGGTGACATGGATAAAAGTATAAATGGACTACAAGCTTAATATAAGTCAACTCTGAGATATGAAAGTAAAAAAAATGCTATTGCAATATTTGTCTGAATTGTCAGGCATAATGTCCAGGAGGAAAGAGGTGATAGTCTTGCTGTTGTATGCCAAGATGCTAGGGGAGCTGGAGCTGGGCTAGCTCGAATTAATCTTCTCAACTCCCTTTGCCACTGCTTAACTGAGACTATTGTGTATGAAGACACTTGGGAGTAGACCTGGGCCAGCTTGAGCTAACTTTGCTGCCAGGTGGACTGATTGGGGCTCAGCTAGGAGCCTTTGGGGCAAGAGGTATATAAAAGCAGCTCTTGGATCCTGGTGGAAGAACTTTTGAGACCTCAAGAAATCTCGTGAACCACTTTTACCTGCCGGCTACTGCATATGTTTTTATCAGACGAGTTGCCTATCTTAGCTCTCAGGCTTTGAATGGTTCATTAGACTGGGAAGCAGTGACTCTGGCCTCCTTGTTGCTCCTCCTCCACCTTCTGACTCCAGTTGTTTTTACTGGCTCTCTTTCCTCACCTTTGCCTCCTGGTTTCCTTCAAGTAGGTCCTAGCTAAAATCCCACCTTCTACAAGAAGCTCTTCCCAACCCCGCTTCACCAAGTGCCTTTCCTTCATTGACTGCACTGTGTAATATCCCATATAGCCTTTTTGTACATAGTTGCTTTCACATTGTCTCCATCATTAGACTGTGAGCTCCTCAAGAACAGGGCCTGTTGTCTTTTGCCTTCCTTTGTATCCCCAATGCTCAGCACAGTGCCTGACACATAGTAAGCATTTAATAAATGCTTATTGACTGACTAGATGTGGAGCACTCTGTCCTGGTTGGACCCCATCCAAGATTATGTTCAGTTCTAGGTACCACATTTTACAAGGGGCATTGACAAACTAAAGCAAGTGACTGGGGCAAAGGGGTCATGCCACAAGGGGGTCTCTTAAAGGAAGTAGGGATTTAGCCTGAAGGAGAGCAGGTTTACATAACAGATGTCTTCAAGAATTTTCAGAGTTCTCACCTGGAAGAAGGATTAGACTTGGAGCCATTTGGCTCCAAAGGGAAGAATAAGGAGCAATGGGAAAGCTGTAGAGAGGCAGATTTAATCTTGAGATCTGAAAAACTTTCTAACCATTAAGGCCATCTCAAAGTGGAATGGGCAGCCTTGGGGGATAGTGGATGCCTTGTTACTGGAGGTCGAAGGCTAAATGAACACCATGGGGGCAAGTTGTGGGAAGGATTTTTGGTTGGCTATGGATTGGATTAGATGGTCTCCAATATCCCTTCCAACGCTGAAATTCTGTGATTTATGGGAAGTGGGTCAAGGACAGTCAGAAGGTAAGATGAATTTAGGCAGAAGAGAAGGGGAAAAAATTAAGACATAATCACTCTCCAGGCAGCAGCTGTTGCATTTTATACTGGAGAAAAAATATTTATAAAAAGAAAAGTCCAGTCCAGGATGATTAATTCTGTCTCCTCAATACATTTGTACTTGTCCCCTTCTCTAAACTCCTACCACTGCCCCCATAGGTCAAGCCCTCCTAACCTCTCTCCTGGACTATTCCAATAGGCTAATTAGTTTCTCTGTATTCAGACTCTTCCCTCTCTAAACACTCCTCCATATACCTGCCAAACTGATATTTAGAAGTGTAGTTCTGACCACATCCATACTCAGCTCAAGAAACTTCAGTAGCTGCCTACTGCTTCACTAGTATGTACTGCACTCCATACTCCATGTCTCACACACCCAGAATGCCCTCCCACCTCTCCTCAAACTCTTGGGACTTTTAGTTCCCTTCAAGGTATAGCTCAAGTGCCACTGTCTTCAAGAGACCTTTCCTTATTTCCTCTGCGGGCTGTTAATACCCTCCACCCCTACTGCTTTGTACTTATTTGGTATACATTCTGAATATTTTATATTCCCACAGTAGAATGTAAGCTGCTTGAAGGCAGGGTCTATCTGATCTTTGTCCTCAGAGCCTGGCACATAGTAGGTACTTCATAAATGCTTGTTGAATCGATTGATTCCAACTCCAAATCCAAGACTCTTTCCGTTACACCAGAATCACCTTAAGTGCCTGCACAAACTAGCCATAAATCACCCTCAGTGTTCGTGCCAATGCCCTTGTGTCCCTCCTAACTACGCCATGCTTCTGCGTGCATCCCATTCGTTGACGCTGGCAGAGCTACAATCATTCTTGTGAGAAAATGAAAATAAAACAAAACCAGAACAGCCCACACGCCAGAGGGAAGGGCACCATTTGGAGATTCCCACACGTTTATCTCTGAGACGTTTCCTCTCTCAAAGTGTCTGAATGAGAAGCGCCAGGTCTTTGATATGTACCGTGGGAGCTGGGCCTTTGGCCACTACTCTAGCGAGGTGAAGGGTTTTCAAGGGCCCCAGACGTCTTCTTCCTTGTCAGCTCCCTGCTCCTGGCCTCCCACAGGCTGTGACATCCTCCCTGGGGCATTTCCTTGAATCACAGATTTAGAGCAGGGATGGACCTTAAGAAGCCATTGATTTCAACTCCCTCATTTTACAGATAAAGAAACAGAGACACCAAGAGCCTAAGTGACTTGTCCAGGGTCACATAGCTAGTGAGCGTCTGAAGCAGAATTTGAATCCAGGCCTTCTTTCCTCCAAATCTGTGTTCTGCGAGCGAAATCACAATTCTAGGCGGCTTGGCAGAGTTTCTAGGGGTTGGGCATCAACTGTTCCTCACCAAATTAGATAACACATGTAAGATACTTTGTAAACAAGGTGCTAGATAAATGCTAGTTGTTGTTGTTGTTATTGTTATGATTATGATTATGCTCACTATCTCAAAAGGTCAGGCAACTCTAGCCATAAGGCAGATGCCTCTGAGAGAGGCCCCATCCCACATAGTCTTTGCTTACAACACTAGACTTCCTTCAGAACTTCCTTGGAGGAGTCAGACTCACTCTAGGTAGTGAGTGATTGGGAGACAAAGTATGAGCGTCTCCTACTACCTTTACCTTGCTTTCTGACCCCTGGTTTCAAAGGATCTTAAGATTTAGAACTCGAAAGTAATAGCTGACATTTCTACAATGCTTGCTATGTGCTAAATGCTTTAAAATAATAATCTCGTTCGATCCTCACAACAGCTCTGGGACAGAGGTGCTATTATTATCCCTATTTTATAGGTGAGGAAACTGAGGCCAATAGGGTTAAGTGACTTGCCCAGGGTCACACAGGAAGTAAGCGTCGAAGGCTGGATTTGAACTCTCCAGGCCCTTACGCACTGTGACACCTAACTGCCATCATTTAACTCAATTCCATTTTATAGATAAGAAACATGAGGTCCGGGCCAGGGAAATGACCTGCCAAGGTCACACAAAGAGCAAACGGAATAAACAGGAATGGGATCCAGCTCTCTTCCCTTGCTTCACTCTGGGAAGCCTGAAAGTGTCCCCACTTGCTTGTTTCTTCAACTGAAAATATCACACAAAGCATTCCTCTTCCAAATGTGCTTTAAGGGCCATACACAAGTAACCCTCAGCCCTGCCCCTT